TCGACATCCAAAAGAACAGCGACGCCACCCGCAAGATGGAGAAGCAGCGCAACATGGATGAGCAGAACTGGAAGGCCCAGATGGATGCTGTGCACGACGTCTTGGACACAAAGGTGAACGAGAAGCCCTTCGAAGACCTGAAGCACTGCACCGCCGCGCTGACGAGGGGCGTCGTGAAGTTTGCGCAAGTCGTGGGCGTCTTCCCGGGACCCAAGTTCGATGATGCCGAAGGTGCCGACCAGGGCGAGGCGGACGTGGAATTACTCGGATGGGAGGAGTGTGCTGAGAACATGTCTTTCCGTGTGGACAAGGCCTGGCGCCAGCGCTGCTCACAGCGCTTCCGCAACGTCTTGGACATGGTGGCAAAGAAGGCGGATCACAGCGTGCTCCGCTTGCTCCAGATCTCTCAGCAGCATATCGAGTCCCAGCTTGAGCGCGTGAAGCACGAGCGTGAGCTCTGGAAGGAGGTCGTTGAACGTCGCCAGCAGCAGCCGCTGCAGCTTGCCCTGTCCATGAAGGAGCAGACGGCTCCCGCAGCCTCGTAGGAAGATCAGCAGCAGCACTTTAAGATGAATCGCATGCGCCGCAGCTTCCGGCAAAGCTCATGCCAGAAGAGCCTTACATGAAGGTCTTAGTTAAAGGCTTCCTCCCCAACTCGTGATGAAACCAGAAGATTCAATTTATGGAATTGGGTTTAGGGTTTGGGCATGAGAGGCGCAGGTCCAGACCACCAGTAAAAGGCCTCGGCTGGCATCCCAAGTAGAGAGCCCGTGCGCGCTGCATCCTCCTGGAGACGGATGGTGCTGGGTAGCAGCTGGGAGAGCGCCGCGTTGCAGCGCTGAAGAAGGGTTTAAGGTTTAGGACCTAGGACCGTTTAGGGTTTCTAGACAGCTCAGGGGACTTGCCTGCCCTTGCTCCTACCCGGCCAATGCCAATGCATTTAATTCGCGGGCGAGTGCGGCAAGAAGCTGCGCACGCCCGCGGCGTGAGTAGTGGCTCCACTTGTATCCTACATCGTCAAGATCCACCCATCCCAAACCCCAGACCCTATAAACCTTGATTCAGGTGCATTGTAGTCTTGCCTAGGTATCCCATGTCGGTCAACTCAGTCGCCACCAATCCGAAACTCTAAAGCTCCGCCGCTGGACAAGTGGATCTTCCGCTTTGTGGTATGTCTCACGGCTGCTGTCAAGGTGTGGCCCTGAAGAACAATAAGCCCTGTAGAGTCCATGGTTTTCCCAGTTTAGAGTCTAGAGCTTAAGATGAAGATGTGCCAGTTCAGGTTTTGTAACTCTGCACCACTCCTGCACGCAGCCGAATATTTCCTTCCCTTGCTGCCTGGAGAGGCGTCGGCGCAGTCATAGTCAGTTCTAACCGATGGGTTTCCGACAGCCACTGCCCCGACAATGCGCTTCGTATCCCTCAAACCCGGAAGCATTCAAAGCCTCTCGCGAAACCCAAGTTCCGCAAGAGCCCTTCGCCGGTTTCGCCTCTCCGACAGACATCGACGCCGACTGTCCCAAAAGACTCCTTGCAACTCCTCAGCAACTACTTAAACCCGAAACCGACCCTAAACCTGATGGAGTCGAGTTGTGAGAGTGTAAACCTTCTGGAGTCGTGGGCCTTTGGTCACTGTTCCCCACCGTGGCGGCCGAATCTCGGCTACCTCACGAACACTTCAACTCCAGCAAGATCCCTGCGGTGCGACATTGTCAGCTGGGCGGGTGAGAAAAACACTGTCGGTCGTGCTAGTGGCTTCAATGCTCGTGTGCCATTATCATGTTGCTTACGTTTTTGCTTTGGACCTTGTCTGATGCCGGTAGGAAGTATTGCTTCTAAGAAAATGCCTAACAATTGACTCTAGTCACCAGTCTTCAACCACTACTATGCACCTCGTCATGTAGTTTCTGTCACTAAGCAGTTTTAGCAGGAGCTACAATGGTCCTCCACAGTATCTTAAGTATGGTCATTTTCCTACAGTCATGCGTACACATGCCCTTACGCAATAGCTGCTTCCGAAGCAGGAGCACAACTGCAGTGTTTCCAATCAGATTTGCTAGTCTTAGTGCTATTGCCTTTTCGTTCCCGGCCCATGCAGCTAATTTACGAATCCTCGTGCTGCTGTTGTGTTTGTCAATGCTAAGGGCGTGCTACGGCTACATCAACGAGAGCAGTTTCTGCTACACCGTCGAAGAGTATATCTGCCATGTGAGGCCTCCCACATGATGAGACACGAGCTGTTGCTAGGACGTGCCTTCGCCCGCCTCACAAACGTCCATGTGTAGTTATGCTGCATGGAACGCAAACCTAGAGTCGCCCAATTGCCCAGAAACTCCGTGCTGTGCGTGGTGATGGTGATCCTCTTCTTTTGCCGAGCGCGTGGCGTACGTGTTGTACGAGGCACTCGCTTTTCAAAAGCTTAAGAAGATTGACAGAGCCTTGGTATCTACTGGGTGCTGCATACCAGCCGACCGAACTTAGCACCTGAGATGCGAGGCCTTTTTCAAATAGCTGTCAGCCGATTCCAGCGAAGATTGGCACCGGACTGCTGGCAATTCTTCAAGCGCCTTGAACTTGATGCGGCTGCTTCACTGCGGCAGACCCCCACGGGCAATGTTTGCGGTTCATCTGTGCAAGGGTAACATAGCCCCAAGTGTTCACCTGTGGAATGAACAAGTGGTCATCGAGCTAATATCTTTATCACGAATCTTTGACAGAAAAAGCTAAGACCTGTGGACGAGCCGTGCCTCGGAAGCACTCATGAGGAAGACCAGCAGAACAAATCCGACAGACCTGGCCCTAGTCCTACTACTACCTACACTACTACTACTACTACTACTACTACTACTACTATTGTTACTACTACTACTACTACTACTACGACGACGACTACTACTACCACTCCTACTACTCCTACTACTCCTACTACTCCTACTACTCCTACTCCTACTACTACTACTACTACTACTACTACTACTCCTACTCCTACTCCTACTCCTACTCCTACTACGTCGACGGCGACTATTAGTATGGACTCTGACACGAGCTTTGGAGCCGCAGCCCAAAAGCCTAGAGACGTGAAAACCAGGCATGACAAGCTAAGGCTGCGACAGCAGCAGCAGCAGCCGCAGCCGCAGCCGCAGCAGCGGCCGGCCTCCAGCAGTTTGGAGCCCGGCTGTTGCGTTCTGAAAGCCACCCTATGCAGGGTTTTTCTAGTTCTGCACGTGGAAGCAGTCATGGCGATCCTGTCGTACCCTGTCCCTATGGAAGCGCTAGCAGACCATAACGGGTTAAACGAGTTGTTTCGAGGGCAAGGGCCTTGGAGCTCGAAACTAACGAGCTTTCTTGCATTCGGTCCAGTCGGATCTCGATCTCAGGACGCGAGCCGGGCCGTACCGCACAGCGAAAGGCAGCCAGTTCTGATGCGGTTGCGGCTCTTTCAAGATGCGGCTGTCGAGCTTGGAAGGGTTGATTCATAAGGAAATGCTAGGATCGCAGGGACAAACCGTCAGCAAAAAGCAAAGCCGGCGACATAAGGGAGAAACGCTCAGCACAAGAGACAGCATGCCCGGGTTTGAAATTTTAGGCTCTACATTGACTCTACGCCCGCCCTAGCATTGCAGAGCAAAGAATTGTGTTTGTCACACTTCAGCGGTGGGTGGCATGTTGGCAAAGACATCGCCATGCTCAGCACTTTTGGCTCAACAACAGAGGCAAGAGTAGCTGTCATGGTGGTTGGAGTTGGGCTTCAGCAAAAGCTGTTGCAACGGCTGCGGATGCTGCCCGGAGAGGGCCCGCAGGCCGGGACACTGACGCCAGATGTGAAAAAGAAGCCGAGCCTGTGCAAATCCTCGCCCGACGAGGATCGCTTGGAGGCTTTCTCTGCCGAAGCGAAAAGGCTCAAAGAAATGGTCTTGAATGCCAAGAAGGAGAGAGACTTGGCCAGGAGCAGGAGACAACGGATAGAAAATGAATCGGTCAGCCATCACGCGAACACCGCCAAGCAAATAGCAAAGTGTCATTGTCAGCTGCAGGCGATGCACAGTACGATTGCAGCTGACAAGGAGGTGGTCAACAGTCTGCGACAGAATTGCCGCAATGACGATCGCAAGAAGCAGAGCCACCAGGCACAGGTCAGGAAGCTCAACGAAGAAGCTGAGCTGTGCAAAGCGCAGAAGGCAAAGCTGGTTGTTGACGTGCAGACCGAGTCCGACAGAGTGGCTGCTCTCCGAGCAGAGGTGAAGACCTACGAGCAGCCCTTAAAGGAAGCGTTGGAACGCAAGGTCTTGGCGGAGGCGGAGGTCATGGCAGCCAAGATGTCGCAAGTGACACAGGCGGATGAGGAGGACGAGACGAGGAACTTCACA